AAGTTTTTGCAGCTTTTAGAGTCAAGTTTCAACTTCAAGATGAAGGATGCTCGATTCAAAAGTACATGGTGGTTGCTCTACCTCACACTAAAGGGGCGACTGTCTAACAACAAAATAACTTTCCAGTTTCAGTCAGAGTCAATTTCAACTTCACGGCAAAAGATATTGAACTCAAAACGATACAATTCGCTCGAGAGTATATTTCAAATTAACGACGAAAGATATGTAGCTCGAAGACAAAGTTCACAATAAAGGGGTCATCCACGGTTTCGACTTCATGGCGAAGGAATCGTGTCCACCCGCAACATAAAATACTTGGATTTCAACTTCACAACGAAGGATATCCAATTCCAAGGCTCAACTTCACAACGAAGAGGTCATCCACGGTTTCAACTTAACGACGAAGGGAATCGTACTCACCATTATCTCTCTTGAGACAGTTTCCAAGTTTCCCTTGAAAAAAATATTTGAATCTATTTTCATTGATACTAATTTCGTCTCCCTTGGGACATTTTCCTTTGGAACTAAATTTTGTCTCCCTTGAGACAGTTTCTCTTGAAACATAAACATTGAAAGCATTTCCCTTGAAATGAATTTTATCTCGATTGAGATAATTTCCCTTGAAACGAAATTTTGTCTCCCTTGAGACAGTTTCTCTTGAAACAAAAACATTGAAAACATTTCCCTTGAAATAAATTTTATCTCTCTTGGGGTAGTTTCCCTTGAAACAAAATTTTATCTCTCTTGGGGTAGTTTCCCTTGAAACAAAATTTTGTCTCCTTTGAGACAGTTTCTCTTGAAACAGTTTCTCTTGAAACAAAATTTTGTCTCCTTTGAGACAGTTTCTCTTGAAACAGTTTCTCTTGAAACAGTTTCTCTTGAAACATAAACATTGAAAACATTTCCTTTGAAATTAATTTTGTCTCTCTTGAGATAGTTTCCCTTGAAATAAAATTTTGTTTCCCTTGAGATAGTTTCTCTTGAAACAAACGTTTCCCTTGAAACACAAAATATTTAAATCAGTTCCCCTTAAAACGAGTTTTGAGACAGTTTCCCTTGAAACAAAATCTTGTCTCTCTTGAGACAGTTTCCCTTGAAACAAATTTTGTCTCTCTTGAGATAGTTTCCCTTGAAACAAAATCTTTGAATATCTTTTCCTTGAAACAAATTTCGTCTCCCTTGAGACAGTTTCTTTTAGAACTAAGTTTTGTCTCTCTTGAGACAGTTTCTTTTGAAACAAATTTTGTCCCTCTTGAGACAGTTTCTCTTTAAACATAAAAACCCTCGAAATTGTTTCTCTTGAAACACACATACAAAAAACCTTTGAAAATGTTTCTCTTGAAACACCAAACCCTCGAGTTTGATTACACTCAGCTTCGAGGGCACATCATTTACAGCATAATTCAAGGTTAGAAGGGTTATCTGTCACCAAAAGACCTTCGAGTTCGACTATGCTCAGCTCTAAGGCACATCATTTACAGCATAGCTCAAGGCAAGAAGGGTTATCTATCAATAAAATTGTCGAGTTTGATTTATTCAGCTTGATGACACCTCAATCACACTATTGTCCGACTGTAATTGAGGTTTTCAAGCCGAGAAGAAGGTCTGGGTTAGCCGTGCCTTAGTAGCAAGAAGCCTTTTTTCCGTCAGCATAGCTTAAGTCGAGAAAAGCTATCTATCAGAGAAGACTTTTCGAGTTCGGTTTCATTCAGCTCAAGGGCATATCAACCACATTGTGGAGTCAAAAGATTACTTTCCAGTCGAATTTTTAGCCAAGGTCTTTAAACCGAGAAAAAGACCAAAGTGGACTACAACGAGAAGCCACATTCTGATTCAAATCATTTTAAGATGGACTCGACTTCACGACGGATGAGCCATCCGCAATTCAATTCGACAGGGAGTTATTCTTCAACTCCACTGAACGAAAATTTGTGTTTTTTATCTTTGTCTTATTTTTCGTTCCACGAAAAAGGACAAAGAGGGGTAGCTGTAGACACATTTTCTTAATAGATAGAACTAGCAAGAGTTCCTCTCCTATGAGGACTCTTCCACCACCATATCTTTTAAAGCAACAACCACACCAACAAACGTGCAACAACTGAGCAAGGAGTCTAGTTGCATTAGGATTCTATTGTTAATAGGATTCTAAAAATAGTTAGTTTTTTTCACTATAAATACATGTAATCCTCCCCATTTGTAACACACGATTTACATACAAAATACAGAGGAAAACACGGAAAATACAAAGGCAAAGCTATTGTAAACGATTCGAAAATGAAATAAAAGGTAGCATATTTTTTACTTTTGATTCGGTCTCTTACATTTACGTTTTAATTATTATTATTTTATTTATTTAACTTTATTTATACGCATATTTCCCTTGTTACTCATTTTATTTAATTGTTTTGTTATTTTTCTTTTCTTTTTTTCATGTAATATTTTTTATATTTTATGCATTTTCTTTTTTACTTTAGTATATATTTTTATTTTTTTAGATTATATATATATATATATATATATATATTTTTATTATCAGTTTTATTAATATATATATATATTTACTCTTTTTTATTTTATTTATTTATTATATATATATATATATTATTTTTACTTTTTTATTATTATTTTATTTATTTGTTTTATTTATATATTTTTTTCTTCTTTTTATTTATTTATTTATTTTTTATATTTATTTTACTTACTATTTTATCTTTGCTTTCTTTATCTTATCTTTTATTTAATTTGTTTTTTTTCATTTTAATTTAATTTATTTATTTATTTCTTACTTTTTTATCTAACATGGTTTTTTGACATTCTTAAGGCCACACCTTTAAAACTATCTAAGGTAAGTAATTGTGATCGTATTTTTACCTTTTAATTTTAAATTAAATTTTCTTAATTTAAGACAACCGGCAAATTAATTGGTACCGAAAGGGCGGTTCAAGGGTGCTAATCCTTCCTTGACCGTAACCGACTCCCGAACCCGACACATTTCTGGTAAAAACGTAGATCAGGTAAGATGGTGTCCGACCCACCTAAATTCGTTTTAAAGTGGTCGGTGGCGACTCCCAACCCAATTATTTCAAGTCGAAGCCCAATTCGGGGCCCAACCGAAAGACGGTTACGACAATGGTCACACCTCATTTCTTGGGCACTAATTGCACCGGGATGGCCCATGAACTGTTGGATATTGGGTAGATTACTCTAGAATCGAGCCATTTAATAATGTTTTTATTATCACCTTCTTTACAACTGGGTTGAGCCTTCTTTGGGGTTCAACAGAATTATTGGGCATTCATCAAGTAGAATTTGTGCATGCAAATAGTAGGGCTTATGCCCTTCAAGTCAGCCATAGTCCAACCTAGAACTCTCTTATACTGAGATAACACATTTATTAAGCTATTTTCTTGCTTAGGTTTAAGACTAGAAGATAAAACATAGTCAAAGTTTCACAACTACCCAAATACACATATTTAAGATGTAATGACAAAGGTTTTAACTCTAAATTGGGTGCATGCTCAAGTAAAGGTTTTGGAGGTATAAATTGAGAAAAATCTAAGGATTCAAATTGTTGGAACCATTGGCGTACCCCATGGCGTAGCTGAAATAAACTTGACGGTCTCACCAGCGATCCATGTACGATAAAAACGAAAATAGGAGGAAGGATACGATTACCTACATTGGGTTCCTTGAAAACATCAAGGTTTCAACAAAAGTAATAGTGATCACGAACGATTTGAATCGCAAACCTCCATAAAAAGGTCTCAGCATCTACTTGGTTTACCCGGTTGAGAGCAAATAATTTTTTTAACTTTTCTCAAAAACGGTTTTGAGAAAATCGACTAAAAGATCAAGAAGACAACTGCTAGACCCTTTCTTATCTTTATATACGCGTGTTACCCTAACCTTTAGGGTTTTTTAATTCTGAATTAATTAAAAATATTATTTTAATTATTTCAAAAAAAAACTTCTTTAATTATTCTGAATTAAATATTTATTAAAAGAGTTGTAATCATAATTGCATTCTTTTAATGTCCACTTATTTTATTCAAGACAATTAAATTATATGTATATAATATATATATATATATATATTAGTTCTAATTAGATTGTACAATTTAATATTTGCTCACTTCAACCTTAGGATGTTACCCTGTAGGTTTTTTTAACATTAGTAGTAATTATTAGAACCATTCTAATATTACAAACAATGAGTATCATCTAGCAATATATCATTGTCACCTAAGTTACAAGAAATCATGATTCGACATATCATCTTCATGATTGACTCTTTTATGTATTACATCATTTTGTCCTTTATATCTAGAATAGGAACAAGTCTTGGGATAGTCACACTTGCATGGCTTATCTATTACTTCTTGATATCTAGAGTAGACTATAATTAACAAATGATTTGTGATATCTCATATCAACTTATTTGAGCATGGCATGCATTTCTAGTCCACTCAATCAAGTGGCCTGTGATATATTTCCTATTATATAGGAAGGACAAATATTTTCTTAATCATTCACATCCTACTGCATATATTGAGATATGTTCAATATCAATATTTATAGTGCAAAAAGCTACGAAGTATGTTTAACTGTAATAAAACATATAAGAATATATGTTGAGTTAGTAATGATCTCAAGTTTGAGGATCATACACACTACAAGAAAATATACCTTTAATGACACATAAATGATGACACACACTAATTTATGACTTGCAAAAAATGTGTGTCATAAAAAAATGACATGTTTATTAAAATCTGAACGATTTATTACTTACAATAATGTGTGTCATATTTAATAATCATAATCCAAAAAATTCAACAAATACACAGAGTACACTTTTCATTGTGTATCATCTCTAAAAATCATCTTTTAATTTCCCCATAATTTTCATTACGTAGACATGTTTTCCCGCTTATTTTTTTAAAAAATAAAAAGAAAATGGATTTCCTAATGCGAGAAAACAGCATAATCATCATTTCACATTCTGAGTTATGGTCACAGCTATGCCATCTACGGCATGGCACGCAATAAAGATTCAACCGCAACCTCGTCTCCTTCAGCGTCGGCACCCTTTATTAGTCCAATCCTTTAGGAGGAGCGACTTCGACACCTTCACTCGCCGCATGGCCTCCGATGAGGCCTGGAAGGACGCCTGGCGAACCGCCAACAACGGCTTCGAGCAATTCATTTTCGAAGCTAAAAAGACTGCTGAACGATTAGACCACCAGTACTCCATTTCCCGCCAACTCTCCTCAGCCGTCCAATCGGCTACGGAACGTGCTCGTGAAATTGACCGGGAGTTCGAGATTGGACTACATTGTCGGACTTTTTCTATGGATTTTAGCAGAAATTGGCCTAGGGTTTGTGTTTTTTTTCAAATCTGATATTTTTTTTTGGAATTTATATACTTACAATATTTTGGGGGGTGTTTGTTTGTTGATATGGTTGCAGTACAGGAAGCAGCTGAATGATTTCTTGGATACTCCACTGGGAAGAAGTTCTGCTGTAAGTAACATTTGGTCTAGTTTCAATTACATTGCATTGCTAATTCTGGGAAAAAAAATTCATACAGCAAAAGATGTAAAATACGACATGTTCTAATTGATTAAATGCTTAATATTCTATGATGCTAAGTAAATTCTTGCGTTTTACTATCTATGAAAGTTGAATCTTAGTTTTTCAAAACTACTGCAATTTAGACTTCTAAATGCTCGATTGGCTTTTGAAAGAAGAAAAGCAAAGAAGAAGAGTAAAGAATTAGACAAAGCTAGCGAATGCTTTATCTGTATATGTTGGTTAGACTCTTAGTTTTTCTTGAAGTACCCATTTCTGATACAGAGATAAGGGGATATAACCTTCAAGAATCCTCCAAATACATGAAAAACTTACAAAACCTGACCGTACCCGCAAACCCTGGGGTCCTAGTAACATAGATGATGACAATAACTTGTGTTCATGCATCCCATGTTCCATGTCTGTTCTGTTTATCTGGTTTAATAACAATTATAATGTGAAAGAAGTTATTAACATTGGTTGCTGCAGGTGGTGGTTGTTAAATGTTAAATAATTGGTGAAGTTCAAAACTCTTGAGACCTATAGTTTAACTTGCAAATATCCAATATCTTGTCTGTAACTAATTAAAAAAGGATGGGACATTTACAGAGGTTAAGTATATTCGACATCACTAGTCTTTGGTGTTTATACCTACCTGCACCACAGTTAAGCTTCAAAACCTATTTCAAGTTGGATTTGATTGAAATTTTCATATGCCAAAATTGTTTGTTGCTTTCATTTTGGGGGTTCATTTGATAGGCCTATTATTTTATATTTGTTCTATATGTTGAGCCTATGTTTAAGGGTGAGTATTATGTTATATTTAACGTCATATCAGCTCTCTATTAGTTTGTGTAGTGGTCTTATATTAAAGTAATTGGCTATAGTCCCAATGCTTATGACTCATTCATCAATATCTTCTGCATTGGAATTTAATCTTTCCAATATGTTTTTCTTCAATGCAGAGAAAATTAGTCGAAATCCTTTGGATTTTTTATTTTTTTTATTTTTATGGGAAGTGCTAGAACCTAAATACATTTTTGTTTGGGTTTGCTAGCTTATTTCTTTCAGGATAATAGAATTTATTTTATCTGTTCGCATACAATTTTCTTCCTTTGGTTTGCATTATCTGGTTGGATGTTTCGATGCATAATATTTGCCACATGGATTCTGCCGTTTGCTGGACCTCTTCTCATTGGGAATGTTGCCAAAAATCTTGTTATAAAGGTATCACTTATTTTTGTAAGATGGCTCATGTAATGCAGGACAAAGGGATGACTTGTGTAGCTTGGTTATTTTTTATTACTTGTTTTCTTTTTACGTGTAAAAGGTGTTGCTAGGTGAGTTCTTTCTGTAACATGTGGAACTTTAAGATCCAAATTAAAGTCTATCTCTTGCTTGTGATCTTTAAGTTACTTTGTTAGTAGCTGAACAAATATTTTACTTGCTTGTGTGTCATCAGTTCACGCTTTACTACCGTTTCCACTAATGGAGGAGTTCATTTACAAGGTTAAAGATGTAGCTTTCATTTTGACTAATCGTTTATTGTAAACTGTTTGTAGTGTACCCGTCAGTCGGGAGGTACTGAGTGTGGATATTATGTTTGTAAGTTCATGAAAGAGATAGTCGATAACGGACTTGAAGTGATGGTCACTAAGAATGTAAGCAAACTTTTCTGATACACATCTGTCATATCATACATACACATTAGTCATACAACTATCATATGGACTTGAAGTAGGATGCTATTCTAAACAAATTAATGCAAGTACTTGTTAGCAAGATTGAAAACTGCGAATTCGTGCCGTGATAATGTATATAATTTATAAGAGAAGTTTTACTAATTAAATGTGTAAAATTTATTTTTACATATGCTTCAAAGAATGCATATGCAAAATTGGTCATTTTAGTACTATTTGATAGTTATATACTTCACTCTAAATAAGTATAAATTATATACTTATTTCATATTTTTTACTTAGGTTGGCGATGGGAAGGAAGAATACACGGATGATGACGTTGATGATATTCGCAAAGAATGGGTTTCTTATGTGGCAAACGTTATTATGTCATGATATTTTGTATCGACATATGATTACAATATTTTTGATAACTTAATGTTAGTATGCAAATGGATTGCTTATATATAATATGATATATATATTTAGTATTATGAGGCATTAAATATGATTTAGTTTGGTTATTTGTCAATCTACAATATATATATATATATATATATATATATATATATATATATATAATTTACGTCATACTATCACGGCACACAAATGTGTGTCATCTTCATTTATGACGGGACTTCAATGATGCGCAATGCACATCATAAATGCGCGTCATAAATACGTATCATAAATGCGCGTCATGGATTTATGACACACAATTGCGCATCATTTGAGATTTATGACGGTGGTTTCAATCAAGAGCATTTGTGTATCATCTGCACCCATAGATGACGTGCAATGCGCGTCATTAAAGGGATTTTTTCTAGTAGTGACATATAGTCATTACCATGAGCAATGTTGTGACCATCACATAATAATCCAAGACATGCTCATAGTGGGTCAATCCAATAAGTCGTTATTTAACAACATATTCATGCATCAATTCCGACATCTCTATGTCAAGGACAACCCATTGTCATCTATCAATAACACGTTGGTCTTAAACATATTATTATTGTCCATACCCATAATAATAATCTACTAAGGATTTTTAATAATAATTATATTATTATATGGAATTTATTATCTTTGAATTTATATTAACACATTTATATAACTGAAAATAATAGTGGCAATGTCTTTATTCAATAAAATCGGTAAATAAAATATGTCCATACAATCATCATATGATTTATCTTTGGGCATACTCTAACAATCTCCCACTAGCACTAAGACCAATCACTCACATACCTAATATCAAGTGACTCAGTGCGACGATCATACTTCTTATGTGCCAGAGGCTTTGTTAGGGGATCAACAATGTTGTCATCCATGCGTACTTTGCATATCTCCACCTCTCCTCGATATATGATCTCTCCAATGAGATGGAAGCGCCTAAGAATATTTTTGGACCGTTGATGAGATATGGGTTTCTTTGCTTGTGAAATGGTTCCATTGTTGTCACAATGGAATTCTATAGCATCCAATATGCTGGAAACAACCCCTAGTTCAGATATTAACTTCTTGATCCAAATAACATATTTTGTTGCTTCAGTGGTTCCAATGTATTTAGCCTCTGTTGTAGAATCTTCTATTGTGTCTTGTGTCGTAACCGGTTTTCGTCCGGGCACGAATTTTTATTTGGCGGGAAAATTGATGTGAATAAATGGTTTTGAAAATAATTTGGGAGTCGCCATCGGCCTTTTGGGTCAGGTAGGTTGAATACCTAAAAAATTATCTTTTAAAAGAGTTTTTAAGAAAACATCAGTTAAAAGATAAACTGATTTGCGTTTTAACCAAAAATTCGTTCTTTTTAATAATAAAAAGGGATTCGTGGTCGGTTACGTTTAGGGAAGGATTAGCACCCCTACAACGCCCAAAATTGGTACTTTTTAATTATAAATTATCTCTATTATTAGAAATTTAAAAATTCAAAATATATTTAATTTATTATCCTATTATTTCAAAATTATAATTATGAGAAAAAAATAATTTATATATATTTATAAATAAAATGTTTATTTATTTAGAAATATCAGAAAATGACTTCTAGGTGCCTTAAGACAACTCTTTTCTTTGATAAATATTAATATAATAATTTAAATAAAATTATAATTTTTTTATAATAATTAATTTTAAAATACCAGAATAGGACATCCAGTTGTATTAAGACTGCCCTTTTCTTCGATATTGAAAAATAAATAAATAAATATTGAAATAATTTATGTAAAAAAAATATAAATTATTATTTATTATATATATATTTATATGACTATATAATAATAAATATAATAATATTTAAATATATAAACAAGTAAAATTAAAACAGTAAAAATACAATTAGAATTATATATCTAAAAGCAGTAAAATAAATGAAAATATTTAAAATTAGTGACTAAATTATAATAAAATTAAAATTAAAAACCTAATTCAATATTAATTATTTAAAATTATAGGGATTAAACATGTTATTTTCCTTATTTATTAATTTAGTGACTAAAATAAAATTATATAAAAATCGAATATCAGATTAAAATAAATTAAAAATATAAACTCAGGATTAAAATATTATTTATTAAAATTAAGGGACTAAATATGTTATTTATCCTAAATATTTATAAATACGGTTAAGGGCTAAAATATAAAAAAATAAAATTTAGAGACCAAATTAAAAGGATTATAAATTTGATTTAGTGACTAAAATGTAAAGATTACAAGTTAGGATGGTTGCGGACGAGATTTAACAATTAAAAATTACAAAAATAGCCCTCCCCGAAACGACGTCGTTCGGGAAGGGCTATTTAAGCCCAAAACCGGCTGGCCCGAAGGGCCAGCTCTCATTTCTTTTTTTTTCCTCTCTCTCTCTTCTCTCTAAAACAGAGAGAAGCTCTCCGGCTGGCAGCCGTTCGCCGGTGTTGACCCCGCCGCCGGCCACCGCTTTCGATGGTCGAATTTTTTTTTACTGAGACGTAGATCGGACCGTCCTAATACGGTTCCAGTGCTCCTTTTTATTAAATAGCTCCCAATCGGAACAAATTTAGGAAAATACCTTCGGTTTTCGAAGGTTGTTGGTGACGTTTGGAGGCCGGTGGTGACTCCGATCACGACGTTGTCTTCCTCGGTAAGTTCTCTTCGTTTTCTCCTTGCTTTTTTTTTGTTTGTGGTTGCTGGTTTGCTTGCTTTTTTCTTGTTTCTTTTTTTTTCTTTGCTCTGTTGGTTGCCTCTGTCTTCTTTGCAGGTTGGGTGATGGCTTTATAGCCATCACCGGCGCTTGTCTCGGACCGGTCCTAAGGATGGAGTTCGGTGAGTCACCGAGCTATGTGGTGACTCACCCCTAGAGCTTGCAACGTGGGCGGCGGGTGTTGAAGCAGCAAAGCTTCTGGAGTCTTCAGCGAGGCGTGGCAACGGTGGAGATGGTGGGAGTGGCTGCGGCGGCCGCGTGGCCCTAGGGTATCATACACTAGGGTTTGCATCTGGAGGAGTGTGGGCCGTTGGATCTCTCAGATCCAACGGCTGAGATGATGAGGTGGCTAGGGTTAGATCAAACCCTAATCTGTTAGGGTTTAGTTGGGCCATTTGTAATTGGGCCAGATAATATGGGCCTGTTTGTAATTATTATTATTATTATTATTATTTAATAATAATATATATAATAATTATAAGAATAATAATTATAATAATAATTATAACAATAATAAAATGGGTAAAAAAAATTTAGTGTCTTCAGCTGCCCCTCTTTGCTCATTCTTGTATTAACAAGAATAGGGCAAACACGAAAAGATAATTTTTTTTATCCATTTGGCTTCACTTGATTATGATGGAGATGTTGAATAAATTCTTCTCTTTCTTCAGATGAGTTCTTCTCATTATGAACTTTTCGCTGGGGATGATGTTGACCTATTTCCTTCTGTGATAGAGTCATTCAAAAGGTTGAATAAGCTCTTCTCATTATGAACTTCTTCTTTCTCCTTCAGATGAGTTCTTCTCATTATGAACTTTATCTGGAAAGGTTGATACTAATCTATCTGCTTCTGTGATAGAATTATGCAAAAGGTTGAATAAGCTCTTCTCATTGTGAACTTTTTCTTCTTCAGATGAGTTCTTCTCATTATGAACTTCTCTGGAAAAACTGATCCATCAAGTGATGGATTTGAGCAAAAAGTTGAACAAATTCTTCTCATTATGAACTTCTTCTTCCTTCTTCAGATGAGTTCTTCTCATTATGAACTCAAACTGGAAAAGTTGATCCATCAAGTGATGGATTTGAGCAAAAGGTTGAACAAATTCTTCTCATTATGAATTTCTTCTTCCTTTTTCAGATGATGAGTTCTTCTCATTATGAACTCTACCTGGCAATGTTAATCCATCAAATGATGAATTTAAACAAAAGGTTGAACAAATTCTTCTCATTATGAACTTCTTCTTCCTTCTTCAGATGAGTTTTTCTCATTATGAACTTTTTCTGGAAAATCTGATCTTCAAATGATGGATTTGAGCAAAAGGTTGAATAAATTCTTCTCATTATTAATTTCTTCTTCCTTCTTCAGATGAGTTCTTCTCATTATGAACTCAAACTGGAAAAGCTGATCCATCAAATGATGGATTTGAAACTTTGCTAAAATCTTTGAAATTCCTGTCAAATTTCAACATGGATGAGAATGAATGAAAATGCACCTATTTTTGCAAATACCTAAATATGATGCATAATTGTTAAGTTATTTGATTTCAGATTGGTGAACTGAGTATTTCTTCAGTTGTAGAAACCCAATAAATCTTTCTTCTTCAAATCAGAGAATCTATCATCTTTGACAAATGTAGATGTAGATATAATGTCACAAAACCTCTTGAGAATAAAACTCAATAGTATAGGCTCTTGAAAAGCTTGCATTCATGCAACATGTTAATTCTGATAACAACTCATCTGATTATGAAGTGATCTTTCAAGATGATTTCGCAGATATCGATAGTTCTTTTAATACCGAGAAAATCTTGAATTTGATTCTGATGAGGAGAGTAAATTGTTTTACTTGAAAAGAAATGGGATTCTCAGAGACTGAGGCTTCAATAGCCATGAAGAGATGTGGTTCAGATTCATCAATTACAAAATTGATAGATTTGATATGTGCTGCTCAAATGGCTAAGGCTGCTGATGCACTTCTTCCGGTAAAAGATAGGAAGCCATTATGCAATGATCCCAATTACAAGAAAAGGCGAAACTTGGGTTATGATTTTTGGGAAAGGAATAAGTAGAAGAAGCTTGAAAAGAAGCTTCTTAATGAAGACGATCATGCAGTTCATCTTTTAATTCCAATGATTGGTTCTGTGGTTCCTACCGAACCAGATCAGATAACTCAAAGAACACTTCCAGAAGATGCTATTGGGTCTCTTTATTTGTACTATGAGC